GCACATACCCGTTAAGCATTAAGAATAAATGTGCTTACAATGTAAACACTAACTTGAAGTTCAAACCAAAACAACACACTAGTTAACTTTAAGTTAAGTGCACATAATTATAGGTGATATTGAACCACTGATTTTATGTTACACAGTTACTGGTAATCAATGTTAAGCAAAGAGAATTTGTTAAAGGTCTAAGAAAATATAATTGAACTAGCTTTATTTGGTAAAATACATTACTTTCCTGTACATATGGCCCTATTAGTTTCAAGAAGAAAATAGGAAGCACCTGCTTTAAACAGGTTTTAGACTCCAAACTAAAATAAGCTGATTATTTTCTTAAAGTCTTTCAAATATTTTCTACTGGCATGGACTGGCTTCGGTTAATTTCTCTGACAGGCACACTGACAAACAAGACTGAGTACTGCTGCAGTTGACTGCTTAAGTGAAGAAGACTGGAATTGGAATTATTAATCATATTTACCGATTTACATTAAGCACCATTTATGAATGTTTGTCATGTGACGTTATTGAAACAGCTGCCACTCTTTTCTAGACCGAAGTCATTCATGTAAAACCACATGGATACGCCCATTTATTGTGACTAAATGAAAAGGAAGGGTTTGTGTGAAGCACATAGGAGTGACAGCTCTGAATCCATAGTAACTTGATCACATTTTTATCAGATTTGTGAGTGCTTGTGAACAGCGAGGCTACTAATTTATGTTACCATGGCTCCTCTGTAAATACAATAATAGTTAAACTGTTTTATTACACACCACACCTTTAATAAAATAGGTTTAGATTTGTTTAGCGTTGTAATAAATATTTAGCAAGAAAATAAAAATGAAAGAACCGAGTAGTACATCTGCAAGTGTCAAGCTTCAAAATAAAAACAATTCATAACTATATTACAGACAACAAAAAAATTATAAATCTAAATTAATTATAAAGGTACGTATGTTTTATCCTGCCAATTGCTCTATGAGACGTGTGACGTTATCTTAAAACATTTATTTTTACGTGCTTACGGTTTAGCCTTTGTTAACGACTTTCAAATAGCTGCTTATCTCTGCAGGTCGTGACAGATAGCTGTGAAACACAGAAGCTAACCGCTAGCATTCACCTATCTTACCTTGTATTTGTCGAAGCCCGCAAGTTGCTCCTGTGTGACATATTCGTAAAGAGCCATGGTTATGTCCACTGGCTCAGAGATGGCCTGAATCAAAATACCAAACCTCAAACGATAATTTCCTTCGCCCTAGCACCATATAACTGAACTGCTCTGGATCACGCCGGGTGCGGCGATATCGAAACACTGGGCCACTCCTACGGAGTAAAGCGCGTTGTTGGCGGTAGCTCGCTACCGCCCCTTTTGGTTCGGATGACTGTTAATAAAATAATGGTACAACTGTCAATATATTTTTTGTAAATTTGCGAAAAACAACCCATCTTCCTTAAAAAAAAGTCATGAGATTACGAGTATGTGTAATAATTTTTGGTGATATTTATTTCTACGACTCGACCAATAGCATCCGCTCACGTTCGCAGCACATTATAACGTTACGTGGCTTTCCGCTGAAACCGGAAAAGGAAGATTCATCTCTGTTGCTAATCATCACAGGAATCACTCGAACTGGGAGTCAAATCTAGGACAACCTAGAGAAAAAAAAGATTAACGTAAGTTGTAACAGTAATGAAACTACAGTAGATTGGAACTTGTATGTGTTTTGTCGTTGTGCAAAAGGTGGGGTGTTCAGAGTTCATTCTTGAACGTGTGCCCATTTGTCGGCTAGTTAGCTGCTTTAACAAAAGTGAATTTCCATTTATTAAATTTACTCGAGTTTCGTCAGAACGAGTTGAGTATATTAACAAAATAATTGAATGAACAAATGTGCAAAACTTAATTTTATTTGCGTCATATCTAAGTAAAATCACGAACATATGAACATCACGGCTTTCATTTACGTGAACGAAATCACTAGCTTTTCATCAAATATAGTTATAAACAACATGCAAGAGTCAGAGTGTCAATATTGTGTACGTTTTTTGTTATCAGTGTAACACTCTCATGAAAAATACATGACATTCTGTTAAAAATGTGTAATTCATGCATACCTCTCAAAAAATCTAGAAATGTTAAATAAAATGTTATGGCACTTACAAATGCTAGAAATGAATTATAAACATGGGCCCTTACTTAACATCACTTTTATTTATTTATATTTCACCATTTCTCCTTCTTGTCAGCAGAATGGTGACAGATGTGCAGCTGGCCATATTTGCCAACATGCTTGGTGTCTCATTGTTCCTGCTGGTTGTGTTATATCACTACGTTGCAGTCAACAATCCTAAGAAGCAGGAGTAGGAGAGTCCAAACATGATGTCACACGTGAGTTCAATCTCTGTTTGTGGAGAATGGGGCAGAACTGGGTTGTGATTGCCAATGTGATTCATCTTTGGTTGTGCCATGCCCTTTGAATAAACTTTAAACACACTGCTCAAACTATACATTTCTTAAGAAGTTCTATCTGTATGAAGATAAAATATAATTTTTGGGTTAATATAATTGTGTGATTTTCCTATTATTCAGCAAATTCAATAAATTATTTTTTCTTCCATAGATGAAAAAGGAGTCACTGTGGCCATCCTGGAGATAACATTCCTCTCCCTTTTTCATCCTTCTTTCTAGGAAGATTTCTATGTAATAGTTGCACAGTCATGGATGCTTGTTTTTTGTAATAAACATGTGAATAAACACCAGAAATGGAAAAAAAAAACGTCTTAGTCAAAAAGACTTACAATTTGTTTTATTTTATCATATTAGTGTGTTGATTGTAGATAAATAATTTAAATGCATCTAAAATATTTAGAGTGAGATAAGAGTTGGATTTTGGTCGTTTTTATCTCCATCTAATTTGACTAATTTTTGATTATCAAGTTGTCACCAAGTAGACAAATACATATTTGTATGGGGTGAGACTTCAGCACTTGATATTGCTCAGTGGTTCCCAGTGTTTTAGATCATTTCTGTTATTGCATTGAACTTCACAGAGAACGATTGTTAAATAATAATTAATTTTAATGTAATAATTCTGTTAACCTTTGCATTACACTAGCAATACCACAGGCAGCTTGCCTTGAGAACAAAAATCATAGGAAGACCAGGACATACTTAGAGAAAGACAGAAAACAACAGAACAAAACAACACTAAAATAATTCATGGCCACCATCAATATTAATAACATCAATATTATGATAACTTTACCAAATACAGTTTCACAGTTGTAGAGTTGTAAAACACTCAAGGATTCTTGAATTCAGTCAATGCGTGGACTTTGTAAAAGTTGTTTGTCCAAAAACAAGGTAGTGACCTGATACTATACACAACATCTGTTTTACTCTAGTCCTAATTTTTGTGTTTGTCTTTCTCTTCATAAATTTGGTTGAAAAAAGATCTGTAACAAAGTAAATACTTAATATTTGGAGATGTTTTTGTTTTTTTTTACACAAAATTTAAATTAATTCAGTTGCAAAAGATGCCCAGGTGTTATTTTGTCATAATTGGTCTGTGTTTTTTATATATTTTATAAGGTGGAGAGCAGCACAGGACAATGAAAATATAGTAAAAAATAAAATGCTTAACATAATAATAATTTTTTCATTGAAACAAGAGAGAGAGATAGTGTCTAAATCCTGCTTCCATCCTGCTGTGGTGATACACAACAAGGCACTTCACCAACATCACAGGAGCTGCTCAAAACTGCATAATTATTTAACTAAGTTGTTTTCTTAAAAAGAACTTTAACAAAAAATCTTAAATAAACATAAAAAAATATTGCACTTAATAATAACCCGTACAATCTTTCCGTCGTTAATGTTCACATCCCTTCTGCAGTTCCTAGGTTTCTCCGCACAGGGTCGCTGTCTCACACATGCTCCACCAACGGCACCACGGGGATTTCACTATCCTTTAAACCACCACAAGCCTTGCCATTTATTTTTTCTATTAGACGTAACATTATATGTTTTAAAATAGAGAATGCATCATATTTGTTACCTGTTGCTGTCTTTCTTCCACTTCTATTGTATTTTCTGCGATAGCAGTGTTTGTGTGACGATCACTTCTGCCTGTCTTCTTCTTCATTACAGCTTTTGATACCAATTGTTTGCCACCAGTTTTACTTGTCACACCTGCAGTTGAACAAAAGAGCAACCTTAACTAATAATCAGTAATTAGTTATTCAACGCAGGAAAGTCCATGTACATATTCAATTTTCATTCAAAGACAACTGACAGGGACCATTTTGTCCATCAGAATGTCGATATTTATTGTCCTACTAAAAAGAAAAGTAGCTTTTTGTCACAGACAAATATCTATTTGAAACTCAGCATCTCACCTTGGTCATTACAACTATAAATATAAAATAACTGTCTAATGTAACTTTTTAGGGAAGCCTCTCTACCTCTATTTCGGGGTCAGCTAACTTAAACTAACTTTTATTCTATCATTCATAATTATAATAAACATTTGTGTGTAATCTGTCAACTGTCAGGCTAAGTTAGTCACGTTATTGCAGGTACCTGTCAGTGACAGGTGTCGGTGGATTCCTGGTCGAAGCAGCTTCCACACCTTCATGGTGGCCATTTCCTCCTTTTCCCCAGGTGACGATAGACTATTGGTAACGGTGGTCGTTTTGATGCCCCATGGAACTGGGTTTTCATTTGACCTTGTCTTGCGGATGGTGATGCGACTCACGTGAGGTAGCAGCTCACACCTGGTGAAGTGGTTGACAACATTAACACTCATTAAAAAAAAATTACACCAAGAAAGAATATGACTTTAAGCCTTGTAAACAATAACTTAACTGGTGGCAAACAAAGGTCAAAGGTTATCTTGCAGTGACAATATGGGTTAGAGATTAGAGTTAAACTCTAATAAAATAAAGGGGATTTGATGTAACCTTTGGGGTCATTTAATGTAGTTTGTGTTTAATATATAGAATACATTTTCAAAATAAGAGTCCAGTTTTATGTGACTGTGTCAGCTGTGTATCTGTTTTTTCTTGACTCACTTGGTAAATTTGATGGAGGATAGGATGTGTTCAGCCCCCGTGTCTTTAGCAGCCTGTTCCAAAGTCGTGTGGAAAGTTAGTAAAATTGTTATTGCGTAAAATGTGGAGAATTTGATCAAGTGAGCCAAGAATGTCTGCTAACCCCTGTGAAGGTCTCCAAGTAGTGACAACCTCTTGCAAGCGTGCGACACCCTTTCACCACACGTGCAGGACGCATGTGGAGAGGCATTCTGGACGAACCCTCTGAACTGGTCCCACCTGCCTTAGAGTCTGGACAGCTGAGGCCTGTTGACAAGACGAAGGGAAACCAAAATGAAGAAAAGAACAGGAAGAAAAAACTAATTCTGGCACCTGTGTAGTGCAATGTTTGGTGAGTTAGTATTGTTTAAGAACAATGACATAGGAGTAGGAACATGATTAGGAATACTGTGTGTGGACAAACTAAAGTATCAGAGTGAAAAGGGTCAAAGGTACACACGCACACATATAGAGAGGCATCTTCACAAAAAGGAGAGTTTTTATTAAACAGCGAGGCAGTAAAAGGACAGCAGCAGCACATTCAAGTAGGTGATATTCTTCAGGACGTTACACAGACAACACTAAACACAAGTCTTGAAGAGAAAGTTAGCACCAGAGAAAGAAACAACATTCTCAAAAGTGTGGAAGAGCAATGTGAACATGACACAGAGAAGTTCTTGTTTTTGTAGGTGAACACATTTAGATTTAGACTTTAAAACAGCAGGAGATCAAAAGGTCAGAGTTCACAGAAAAGACCCGGGATATGCTTCAAATATTTTTTTTAAGTGCACTTCTCTCAACTAAAAACGTTGCTTACATTATGTCATCAATGTGTTGAGAGGTTTTAAGTGCACTTCTCTCAACTAAAAATGTTGCTTACATTATGTCATCAATGCTACAGAGAAGTCAACAATGAAGGGGTATTTAATGTAACTACTGTTGCCGTAGGACTTCAACTATTTGTGTTTATACTTGAACTATTCTTTCCAAAAATCTAGGTTGGCAGACATGTGTTCCCAAACTATTTTTGTCTCTTTCACTATTTTCTGACAAAACAACAGTTGTCATTTCATTTCGCTCCTCCTCTACCCATTATATGCATCTTTCTGTACAACCATCCTCAGTACTATAACATTTCAGAACTGTACATTAAATAAAGTCACAAATGATATAAAACGTTATATTCCAAAGGTTAAGCCAAAGTGAGGACAAAGCAGGTTTGGAGACAAAATTGATGGCATTTTGACGTCACATTTAAATCTACGTTTCTTGGTCAAAAAGCACAGCCTTTCAGGCCTAACATTTACTATAGAGCAAGGCACACCGTAAGTACGTCACACAACACTGGGACAGATTAAAGCTGCGACAAGTCCAAATACTCTGATCTAGTCAATCAATCAATCAATCAATCAATCAAAAGCCTTCGCTTCATCAGCTGCCCACTGGAACTTCTAATTGGATTTCACAGCTGCATATGAAGATACACAGATAAATCACCATTAGTTCACAAAAATCCTCTAGTCTTATACACAGACTAAGACAATAACATCCCACCTCTGCAAATCACATATATATAGCACACTGCACACCTGTCATATTCAGTTTATACAATCAAAGCAAACACGACCATACACGTTCAATAAATAACAAATGTTTTCTTCACTGGCTCGATGAAACATTTAGCAAAATTTAAAAACTCTACACTTTATTTACACCAAAACCAGCACTGGCATTTTTTTTTTTCATTTTTCTTTTATAAAATTATAAACATGTGCCAGCTTGGGCTTTGCAACACTGTTAGTAAAACCAAAGTGTTTTTAATGATATTGCTTGTTGGCAAACAGCTTAATGAGACACCCACTTATTCCCACAACTTCATGGATCCAACGTCCATTAGAATTTGAGCCAGCGATGGTCCACGTGAGGTTTCTGGCATTTAGGCTACTCTGTGAATCTCATAATGTCAGAACTAGGACTGAACTGACATTGGAATGATAAAGAGGTTTCTTCATAAATATCACAGAAATGAGTCACTGACTTGCATATTAAAAAAGAAAAAGAAAAAAAAAACATCGGCCTTTTAAATGTCAGAAGAAATTAGATGTAGATTAAGTCCAAGAACTAAATATACAGGGATGGTGGGATCCACTCAGAACTTTTGTTTTTAACCAAACATGACAGCGAGAATAACAAGGACACTGTGAATAACAAACGGATCAGACAATGAAACCCTAAACTATCAATTCTCCATATCCAGGTCCACAAAACTATTTATTTCAATAAATTAGATAAATAATTTATTTTACAAAAATAAATTAAAAAAAGTTCAACTGGCCAAAAAAAAGAGAGAGTGGCTAATCATCAGCTATAGCGACAATCGATTCTTGCAGAACGAAATAAGCCCTGGCTATTTCCCAAATATCAGCACAGTAGTGTGGTAATTCCTCTTAGCTTATTAGTTGTATTCCCACATTAAAGAGATTTGCTTTAGATAATATAAACTACTGTTTCCCTTTTATGATTAATGTGTTGTATTGTCACTTGTACAGTGTAAAAAATGTTGCCAAGCATCTGCCGCTCTTTCTTTCTTCAACATTATCAGGTCTTAAATGGCCATTTTCACATTGTCAGCGGATTGTTGACAGTAGACTATAGTAGACTATTGCAGATGCATGTACTTGTGCAGTTATGTGCAGAAGAAAAATAAAAATTTGAGGAAAACACTACAAAAGCTAGCACCGTTGAGTCATCCATTAATTTATGTCATTGCACTTGTTTCAATCTAGAGTGATCAAATCTTTGACACACCCTGGAACTGATGCCCCAAAGCAATTCAAAGAGCTAACACTTGCACTGCCAACGACCGACACACAGAGGCCTACGATATGGCAGGTTAGGTGTGATTCAGTCCTGGGTGGGGCCAGTTGGAGCGCTGCTGGCCGGTGGCAGGCTCTGAAGGAGCAGGGGGCTCAGTCTCGAGAGGAGCCCCGGATGGGGAAGAGCCTGAAGGGATGGGAGCAAGGTGGAGAGGCTGGGGGGCTGAAGGGAGTACAGACCTGTCATACTGATGGAGGCTGGGAGGGGACAAGAGCTCCCTGCACACACTGGGGAGGACGAGGAAGAGGAGGAAGAAGGAGGGGAGTGTGGGGGTCGCAAAGGAGCATGACTGTTGCCAGGAGACTGAAGGATGGAGCGGTGGTGGTGTGGGCGACGCTTCTCTTGAGGTTTAGAGTCTACGGAGAGGGAGACATACACAGAAACACGGGCTCAAACACATGCCAGGACTGTGTGTAACACTTGTGTTCAGAGGATCCGTGAACTGAGGCAGCACCGAGTAACACAGTCAGGTACAAGTCAGCGTAAATCCTTCCTCCATTTGTACCATCAGTGACTGGTTTTCAGATGATCCTTTGGTCCTGCTAGCGAGATCCCCGTCTTCTCTTGAACAAAATTAGATTGACTTGAACAACCTCCGATGCATGCAGACAGAAAGAGGGCAATGGATTTGTCCAACGTTTAGACGACAACTTCTATTGGAGAATTTAGCCTCAAACAAACCAGGGAAGTACATATTTCACTCATGCTTACTTTCTTTTCTTGACCGTTTTGTAACCTGCTCTTCAGACCACAGAACATCTAAAAACAATGTCTGAAGTTACATGTACATGTCTACAACTCCATTCATTCTTCCAACAAACAAACAAAAAAAATTGTAGCCCCTTACTTGATCAGGAAATTCACTGTGTGAGTCTTTGTAACCCACACAGGCTGCCACAGGAGGCACCATTAAATATGTGGCTCCGAAACCAGGATCTTCTGTGTGTAAAGCAGGCATGATAACCGCTACACCGTGGAACCAACATTTACTGCAGAACCAGGTGAGTTCGTCAATTACTATAAGAAGGTCTGTGCTGCACAGGCGAAAACTAAAATGAATGAATACACAACTGCAAGTAGCAGCGGAAAAATATAAATGCATAATGTTGTTTGAGCTGAAGACAATGATAGTGATTTTAAAATAAACAAAGTGTTGGTGTTTGAGATTAGGATTAAACAACAACAACAAACACTTTCAGTCCAATGGTGGATTAAAAGACCAATGAAAACCAAAATTAAATAAAAATAAATCAAATGACATACTACAAGTCAAAAAAAAAAAAAAATCCTTATTCTTACCACAATGAGAAAATTCACAATTCGAGTCTTTGCAACTCACACATGTTGCCACAGGAGGGCGCCATTTAACGTGATTCAAAAGAGAGGCGACTTGTTGTCAAGTTACTGTATAACGTTCGTCAAAGTTTTCTCAAAATTTATAGATTGAGGATCAGTAGTTGCAGGAAAATTACTCTTGACATTTAACCCATTCATGAATGAATCTACATCAATAATTTACAACAGACACAGCGACAGCTGGCTGTACTTTGACTGCGCCCCGGGTGTGTGGTGCTTGCTCAACACACCAGTTTTGCCAGGGCCAGGATTCAAGCCAGCGATCATCTCATTACCAGTCTAAATGTCACATTCAGACTCCTCCAGAATTGTACCACTCTCTGAGAATGCTTTTATTATTGAAGGTCGACTAAGATATCATTGAATATGTGAAAGTATGAACTAGGACTTTCACCAAGCTAGAAAGATGAACAACAACAGAACTTACCTTTCACTGGCCCGAGTGTTTTGTTGCCCCCACGTCCCTTTGTGTGTGTGGCATTGTGCTGTGTTTGAGTACGAGGCGGAGGGCAGCCAAAAGTGAAACTAGGAGAGTTGTGCATCTTGGGAGACGGTGACTGCTGACTGCTGCTACTGTGGCTGTTGCAGCGAATTCGATTGAGGGTGTTTTCCGATGTGGATCCAGACAGTAAGCTGCCAAAGAAACGTAGAGACTGAGCAAAAGTTTTTAAACCACCTTCGACTTTTCCATCTTTGTTTTAACTCACTTGTTGAAGCTTTTTGGCGGGGACGCTTTGCTGCAAGTATTGTGCAACCTTGTTGGAGGGTTGGAGGAGTTGTGTGTGTTCAGGCCTTTGGTGTTACGGACATGCTTGAGAACCCAGGCTCGTAGATTCGTCAGGCAGCTGTGCTCTGACAGAACCAGCCGTGACCAGGGGTTGCACTCCATCATGTCCAAAGCTGAGATGGCTACGGCACGACCCACCTAATGCACAACACCATGCATCACTTTTCTGTATTATGTAATGTATTTTTTGTTATTTAAAAGGAACAACTCTAAAATCATACTGCAGTAAATGTGTGAAGGACATTTGAAAATACCCTTTACTAACAGAAAATGATCTAAGTATATTATTGAGATGTTTTTTAGACATTTAAAAACTAAAAACTAAAACATACATATATTGAATTCCTAATTCTGGTATCAACCTCAGACTTGTTTTCCTACCTGTTCAAAAATCTCTGGAGTATATTTTGGAGGGAATGCTGGAGGAGGAGGAGGAGTTGCCCTTCCATTGTCGTGGCATGCGGGCGGAATGGTGTTCATGGTTTTTCCGGTGTTGTAGTTACACTCTAAAGTATAGCTGGTGGAAAACCGACAACGGAAATGTGAATTGTTAATTCAATACATGATGTAATAACTACTATACTCTATATAAATATAATCTTGTGAAGTGGTTTTGTGTTGTACCAGAGTGTTTAGACTGGTGGGTGTGAACAACAACAGACTCACCTGTGCAGCAGCCCTATGGCCTTGTGAATGGCCACCCGTCCACTGCCTTCTTTCGACTGGCCGTCTCTCTTGTCCCGGGCGTACATGTTTTTCTCGGAGAAATTGCAGCCGAGGAAATCGAAGTGGGCAGAGTTTAATGCAATCAGCCTGGGGTACAGCATGTTTTCTACCTGCAGACAAAAGAAACAAAAAGTTGCAGTAGTTGACAGTTGTTTTCAGATTGCTATTTTTCCTTCTTTCTGAAATCAGGTGGATACATTTAGAAGTATGCCCTCACCTGCTGGCTCTCATCAGGAAGGCTATTTCCATACATGAAACAACCACGTTTGGAGGCGTGACCATGCAAGTCAACATAATAAGCCACGCCCCCATCCTGAGGTTGCACTGACTCCTGCTCCTTCACCTCCGCAGGCCTTCCATCACCAACAACAGAGGCTACAGTCTCCAAGGAGCTGGACGAGCTGCCCTCCTTCCTCATCTCTGTTATTACCCACTGATTCTCCTCCATGGGCACGGTGACGTCAGGCTGAGTGGGATTTACATCTTTCTCTGATATCTGTGAGCTTAGGTTCACATCAAGTGGGACTTGGTGCTGAATGGAAGATGTGATATTAGAGGAAGGAGCAGTGGTGTTGTCAGAGTTATTCAAGTGCAGGTTGGACTGTGTGGTGTGTGAATGATTGTGTGTGTGGTGGTACAGCAGCAGCGTTTTGGCTGCGTAGATGGATGGGTGCAGCTCAGGGCTGGGGTTTAGGTACTGTCTGTTCAAGTTCACACCTCGGGAGTCAGTCCTACAGACAAAAAAACAAAACAAAAAAAGCACCACACTTAAAAAAGACAACTAAAAGTGATTTTAATTATGATTGTAGAATATATACAATTAGACTCAAATGGTTTTACCATTTAAAATATAACAGGAGATACACTGAAAGAGTCAATATGTATCCTGTGACAGTACCAGAACGTAGGTAAGTGAACGTGACATTCATACCTGTAGTGTCCACGGACAACACCGTCTGGGTTTAGCATTGGAATGAGTTTGAAGACAAACATGTTTCGAAGAGCATGAGCACGTGGGTCGTCTTTTCTCAGAATAAAGTTTAGAAAACCGTTGAACACAAATGATGAGGGAGTCTCCCCTGGATGCACGCGGCTGCTGAGGAAAAACACCTGCGAACGCACAGACAAACAGTACGTGTCATCACCATGGGTGGCACGAATACATTATTTACACATCAGCTAATCAGACTTTTCAAAAAAACAAAAAACAAATGCCAGCCTGCTTTACTAAGAAAACTAAGAAAACATGGATGTTGTATGTACAAGTATGTGTCACCTTTTTGTTGGAAAAGCGATGAGGTCTCGGTGTGTTGGTGTCTGGAAAGAGGTTTGGCAGACGAGGCTCTCTCTCCTCCAGCATCCCATTGCAATTGGTCACAGTGAGCAGGTCTACCCTGTTGCCATCCAGGGAGAGGCAGAGCAACTCTCTGTGATAATACACACTTCCTGTCGAACTGGACAGAAATTGAGAGATGGTTAAAAAAAACAACCGAACTATGAACAGCTGAAAACCTTAGAAGCAGAATGAAGGTATTGCATGTGTTGTTATGGTAAGCTTTGTGTCTACCTGCTCGGACAGAGGTGAGCAGCAGTGGAGTAGCTTTTATCTAACTCCTGCAGCATCTCTTGGCACTCACTGTATGAGAACGGAAAGCAGAAGGAGAAGTAGGTGGTTGCCCCTCGCACCTCTGAAAGCCGGTGATTGAACGAGAGGACAAACTGGTTATCTATAATCTGGGAATAAAAAACAAAAAAGACAATATAATCAATACATGTGTCAGGAGGTGGGGTGACAGCATATTTTCACTGCCTGAAAGCCTCTGAGTGTGTGTGTGGTGTGCCTTCACCTCAGATGTGGGTCTGTCTCGAATCCTTTCCCAGCGGTTCTTCCCAGGTAAAGTGCGTACGAGAGGAGCCATACCCTGGCTGTACAGCTTCCTCTGGTTATTCATATTCATTACGTTGATCTTTAGCATTTTACTCGGAGCTATGCCCTGCACACTGAAGTAAAACCATGACCTAAAACGCAAATAGAAATATGGTTAAAGCAATCAAAGCATTCAAATGGTTGTATGTTCAAATAAAGGTAACAGAAAATTGCGTGTGTTCACCTGTTTCCATTCTCATGTTCTGTACCAGCAGAGTCCGGCTGTGTCCAGACATTAAACTCATAGTCAGGGGTGGGAGTTAATCCTGAGGTGGTGGTTGCACTCAATCCTGAAGATGGGGAGCTGGAGTTAGTCTTCTCCACCTTCTCCACACGTGCCAGGTTCCCTGAGTCAAATTTGGAACTGAACACAATATTGCCAAAGTAGGCCTCCATGATCCAGAGCTTTTCAATCCTTTCCCTTCGCTCCTCAGGTTCTTGGTGTAACTCTGGTCACAGGTCAACCTATTATAACAAAAACACAGTAAGACACAGATTACTGGGTAAGTTACTCACAGGCCACAACTTGCATTACGTTATTGGTTTCTTAAATTTTTATAAAGTAATTATTCTGGATTATCACATACTTATTTTTGTCCATAAATGAAGTTTTTGGATACATGAAGCAGTGTACAGCCAAACAGCTTCAGAGCAAGGGTAACAAATCTCTCTAACAAACACAGCTAGATCTTTAGTTAACCTTGTAAATAATATACAGTTCCAATGCTAGCAAGTGTAGCATGAAGACAATATATCCCAGGTCATATCAGATGTTTAGTTTCTATGGAAACTTGCCAGTCACCTCAATGACCTAACAAGCAAGTATTTTAATCTTTAAAGACGTTGACCTGACCACAAACTACCTTGTTGTTCTTACTGAGGGCATTCAAATTTAAATATCATTTTTGTCACTCAACTACTAAGATTTTCTTATGGATAAATAGGTTTAAAAAACGCCACACGCCTTGTAGCATTTAGTTGACTTGACGACACGTTCATATGTGCAAATGAACACAGACTTTTAACTCATTACACATTTTGACAGGCTTAGTTACAAGTCAACAAACAACAGCGACGCTATGAGGCCGTTAAGGAGAACGGCATGCACAGTAAAACTAAATGCAACACAAAACATACAGGTTTTGTTTGCAAAAACCTTGCTTTTAATGCACAACGACGGGATGTGCATGTATAACGCCGTACATTAGGTATAAGGTCATTTTCATGCGTTTTCCTGTGCGAATAAAACAGAACATGGCTGCTGTCTTGTCCTCAGTGAGAGGGCAACAACAACAGCTGATCGACTATGAGGAAGCAGAGCAAATGAGCGTGTCACACATTTCTTTTTGTTAATAGCATAAGTAAAACAAGCCATTGACTACTATAAAACACTACATCAACGACCATTTAATCAATTAATGTAAAACCGCTTAGCTGAAGATCCTAGCATTCGTTCCGAGGCTAACGTAGCTATCAAACTAGCAGTCATTGGTCAAAACGACACTTCGTCGTCGAATACTATTTTAAATGTTGCAACACTGTAAACGATTTATGAGATCATCACATCAAAACACCTGTTTACCAGTTTTGCAGGCTTATATTCGAACGATGTCCATATTTGTTGTCAATGTCCCCCTCAACCCCTCAGTTCGTTGCTAGGAGTGTTGCGTTCAAGTTTCTCTGTAAATTCACCCACTGTCGCCTGAGTGTTTACAGACGTTTAACGGAGACCTACACTCACAATGTCACACCGTAGACTGCTTTGACCGTCGACTTTCCTTTACCGTTTTCTTTTTATTCTTTTACAGTAGTTGGTATCCATGGTGACGCATTTATGACTGTTTGTGTTTTTTGTTTTTAATGTTTCTTCAGTTATAGTGAATTGTTTGCTCTTGTGCATGCTGAGTCAGCATCCACACAAGAATTTCACATATTTTAATTATTATGACATATGCTTTTTAGTCACCAAGACTATTTCAAAACAGTTTTGACATTGCCTCCATTTAGACGGAGACGGAAACCACGTTTTTCTTCCTTTTATCTGACTTTGATCTGTGCAAGGCATGTCAATATAGTACATTATTACATCCTCTGTCCACGGGGGCTTTGTTTATTTGGAAAATATAACAAGGTTAGTCAGTATCCATCAAAACTCCATTAGGTCTTCATCTGACAGTTTCAAAATCTCAAACTTTTCTCATTTGAGTTTTTGGCCTAAATAAAGGCCTTGGCCTAGCTCCGAGAATTTTTTACTCTTCCGTTATCACTGTTCTTTCCATCCTAACGCTATCTCCAGTTCAGGTCCATCACAACATTATAATCAGGAAAATATATCCCATTTTTAATTAGTTTTTCTTCTTCTTCCTTAATCCTGACCAGGTTAGGAGGGAGAGATTATTTTAAAAATTAGAATCCATTTTTTTTAAATAAATAAAATAACATCCTGTTAGAGGGCAACCATTGTCAACCCGTGTTTGTAATATCAGTTTGGAATTTAATAAAAAAAACACCAACAACAAATAAACAGAATAAATCTTTATTTTCTTTTTAACCTTGAATTTGAGTTGAATAACTTTGCTAAGTTTTATTGTTGTTATTATCTAGTGTTAAAGTTCAGGTTATAAGTTACCTGACTAACCGTTTTGTTGCTCAGCCCTCAAAACCAGTTAAACCTAAATAACGTCAGTTCAACCCACACCTCTACTTTTACCACTATATCTGTCAAATCTCACTGAAATCCACAGGCGTAAACTGACATAACTACACGCATGTTATACATTTTCAACACAAGAGGGCAGTGAAGACTTTCTGCTGACCTTATGCTGCACCCGCAGCTAAGACACGGATATGGGTGCAAAGGTAGACACTCTTCACACACACCAGTCACACACCAGTCAGTTGGTGACAGCAAGCCCTGCTGCAGATTGGGTTTATCTCTTT